TGGGGTGGGTTGGGTGGGTTGGGTGGGTTGGGTGGGTTGGGTGGGGTGGGTGGGGTCGGTGGGTGGGTTGGGTGGTTGGGTGGGTTTGGCTGGCTGGCTGGGTGGGTGGGTGGGTGGTTGGGTGGGTTTGGCTGGCTGGCTGGCTGGCTGGGTGGGTGGGTGGGTGGGTAGGCAGTTGGGTGGTTGGGTGGTTGGGTGGTTGGGTGGTTAGGTGGTGGGGTGGTTGAGTGGTTGGGTTGGGTTGGGGTTGGCTGTTTTGGTTTGGGTTGGTTTGGGTTGGTTCGCTCCTTCGTTTCTTCGTTCTTTCGTTCCTTGGTTCTTTCGTTCGTTCTTTAGTTAGTCAGTTGGTCAGCTAGTTAGTGAGTGAGTGAGTTAGTTAGTTGGTCAGTGAGGAAGTCAGTCAGCCAATTACATTAATTTAGTGTTGCAAGTGAAGATTGAACGGACGATAGAAAACCACACTGGAATTAGAGCATGGCCCACGGCGATATTGCACTGATAAATCAATCCATGAATGGTCGAGCAACTCCTCCAAAAAAAAGACATCAATATACAGAACATCAATGAAGTCAATGTCACTCCATCTCCTCAGTGTCAATGAAATCACCACAATTGTTCTCCAAGAACTTTCTGATCACCTGGGTTGATCGCACGTGGCGCGGACATTCATCCAATGAAAGAAAGTTGGAGTTGGTGCGGACATTCCATGTATGGTGAATTCAGAGTAGATGGCACAATCCCCAAGAGGTGGTTTAGTTGGATCCCCTATATAAACCACATCATGGGGTCTGTGCCATCGAGCCTCTGAAACTCCAAAGGTTGATGATCCAAAGGAGGACATCCCAAAGGTTAGGAAGGAGGACCACACACACTCCAAAGCTTGGGAGTTGATCTGATCTGGAAGGTCAAGAACATTGCACCATACATCCTGACCGCGAAAAACCTGCCTGAGCAAACATCGACGTTTCTGATCGTATCTTGGATCACTCCAACGCATCCAACGGAGTGGAAAACCCCCATGATTCCCGTTCCCTGCGGCCAGTGGGTCTGTCTATCCTGACCCAAAAAGGGACCCACACGCCTTGTTCCACATCCTTCTTTTTGGAAAGAACCCGTTCCCAGCAGAGGTTGAAGAACCCTATAGACTATCCTATAGGTACCCCAGGTGGTGGGTCCTAGTTCAGGTCACTATCCACCTCTGCACGTCCTCTGCTCGTCCCCGCCGTTTTCATCCTCAGGCCGCGGCGATGGCGCAGGGCAGGGCGAGCAACGCCGCCACCACCAGCAGCGTCACCGCGGCGCGCACCACCAGGCGGCAAAGCTCGGTGGCGGGGCCGTGGGCCGCACCGATGCGGAAGCGGAAGCACTCGTACTTCTCCAGGTCCTTCAAGAAACTCCTTGGGAGAGAGGACGGATAGGCTGTAGGCGGATAGGACGGAGAGAGCGTCCGTTTTCGGGTTTTGGGTGCGGTGTTCTTCGACCCAGATTGTTCGTGGCCAAGAGTGATTGAACTGACTTGTGGGCAGTCGAAGAAAAGGATGAAGACAGGTATGTGATGCCAGAGAGCAGCAACTTCAGTCCCATTCTCTGCCAAATCCATGGCTAACATCAATCATAATGTCAATGACCAAAAAATGCCTGGAATGTCCATGTATCGAAGCCTTTCGAACCTCTCCAAAAACCCTTCACCGGGCTCAACCAAGGGCAGGGCACACTTCCCAGCCGTTGGGAGGGCAGCTGGCCAGTGCGGCAGGCTCAGTGTCCACCGGCTGGCTGTGTGGCATGACCGGGTGGTGCAGCTTGCAGGCCGTGAGGTTCCCGCCTTGGTGTGACGAGAAGTAGACCGAAGAATCGATGAAGTGCTCCAGGACCTCCAGGGAACGAAGAGTCGTTTTGGGGTTTTTCTCCGGTTCGAACGGACCACCGAACGGGTCATCCTGAAAAGAACCGACGCCGAACGGCAAGCACTTCTTTGTGGATTGTGGGTCATGCTTCCACACATGTTCTACCAACAGTTGAGTGATAACCACATTGGTCAAGGGCCCGGTCGCACCGGTGACGAGAGAGATGCTCCGAGAAAACCAGTGACCCATAGCACACATGGCTGGATGACTAATGGTGCAGCCAGGTCAAGGCAATATACAATGCAAAAGATGGCCATTGACCAAATTCGAAGATGGAAACTAGCAGTTCAAGGGTCTGGAAGATGACTCTGATGACAAGCGAGACACGCGAGTCTTTGGGCCTTACAAGAATTTTCTGCGGGGCCTTGATATCAGTTTCTACATGAGACTTCTGAGCTTTTTCGAGTCATTCCGCGGAAGCCAGGCGGCAGGACGCGGTCCCGGTGCCGCTCGCGGTCCCCTCTTCGCCCGCTTCACAGCGGAGGTGGAGCGCTCCGCAGCGACGGAGTTTGAAACAACTCATGAGTTCTGGATGCAAATCCAGGAGTGGTGCACTGGCCCAATCCCACACCTCTGGCTCCTGCGCTGCACGACCCGAAACACGCGAAGAAATCCTGGAACAATAAAGGGAAGCGCTTAGGATGCTTCAATTTGTGGAGCGAGTTGGAAACGGGAGGTACTTCTACCACAAAAAAAGGAAACCTGTGCTGCAACTGCGTGGTGAAACTGCTCAGAAGAAAAACATATGCTTTCAGAAAATGCTACCTGCTAAACTCGAAAGCCGCTGTTCAACCCGTCGGGTAGCCAACGAACTCTTCGACCCATCATGGCTCCATCTCCAGCAGGAGCGTCGCCAAAGGTCTTGGGAAAGGTAGGATCACCTGGAGCTCTGTAGGTCGATTTGGCTCGAGCTTCGGCCCCACTAAATGTTGAAAAAAGATTCAAAAAGAATAGGGTCTCTCAAAAGAAGGGTGTGGCGCATTGGGTCAGGCGGCCCCAAATAGAATGATTGGGAATCGAACGACCCATCCAGTTTGGGCTTCCAGTTCTTCCTCACATCATGGATGTTTATTTTGGGGGGACCATTTGCGGGGATCAGTTCATCCAATCGAAGCCAAACAGTTGTTGCACGCCCACATTGGCCCTGTTCGCATGCGCCCAGATTGGCCTGTTCGCTGGTCGTTGGAGGGACGACCAGCGTCGGTTCCTTCCGTCTTCAGACCACCGAGGTTCAGGTGGCCTCACCTCCATGGTGGATGTCCATGTGTCTTCCGTGTGCATGTCTCACGGAGTCTCGGCAGATCCCCGTGCGGTCATCATCCAACTCAGATCGTCCAGCGCACTCATCGGAATTCCCTTCCAAAACATCCTGTGACCGGTCGCAACTCTAACATACAAACCAGGAAACACCAGCTGGGTTATGGGTATTTTGGGATGCTCCTCATCTTCCTATCCCCAGCTTTCGGTAAAGTTGTTCCTCACTGGGTCTGTCCGGGTCTCTGTTGTTTGTCCAATGCATGATGCTTCTGCTCTCAGTCTTTTGGCGGGAAACATCCTAGCGTGCGCTGAGCATGTTGAAGGACCTGACAGTTCACAGCTCACCCTCACCAATTCAAGAACCTACCAATGGAGCTGAAGGAATCCGAAATCCAGCAATTCATTCACTTTGGGGGCACGAAAGCGGGGCACGACGCAAGCATACTGGTCATATTTTCGGGGTAGTTACTGCTGACTTCAGGAACAGGAGGAACATGTGATTCAACTCAAAAAAGATCTAATTATAAATATATATATAAACCTTGGAAACACCTCCCGCACAAAAAAGTTCCCAAAAAATCCTTTGATGTCAGCTGAAGACTGCCCTGGAACTACAAAACCTTCCAACCCTCACGTGTCACTAGTCACTGCAGCACCAGTCACGCAACTGCGCTTGGCGCTTTGCAGTGAAACGTTCTTGGCCACTTTGAAGAGGTCTGGCACCAGTGACAGCTCCCTGCAGAACTTCCATCAGCGTCAGGAAACACCCGCTTGGCAGTCACATCCCTGCCCCAAGCCCCCTGAAGACCTAAGGCTCCGTTTTGACCTTCGTCGAATGACGGGACTCCGCCGGGGATTTGGAATGGAGGCAGAGCAAGACCAGGCTGGTTTGCAGAAGCTCTGAAACTCCTTCGTCAGTCCCTGCTGGTTGAATTCATCTCACATCATGCATCCCTTCTCTCTCTTCAACTGATGCTTATTATCCGCAAGAAGTGTAACACCTTCACGGAATAGGTTGTTCTTTCTCTTCAGGATTCCCACATTCCACGCGTTGCCCGACATTGGTCCTGGCCGTCTCGGGACCCGAGGCCGGCTCGGGACCCGCCTCTGAGCGCAGTTGGGCCATTCAACTGCTTTCAGGCGCCGTGAGGAGGCCTCCTGGGAACAGCTGTGGTTGTCTCGCGCGGTGCATCGATCTCCGTAGGTTGGGAACGCTCCGTGTCTCTTGGATTGAGGAAACACTCTACAGTATAACTCGGGAGTGGCGTCCGTTCCTGGAATTGAACACTGGAAACACTCAACCCTTGCTTTTGGATGCTTTTGGATGGTTTCTGGTTTTTGCGAAGACTGACGAGAGCATCAAGAGCAGCAAGAGGGTGTGGCTTTGGGGAGAATGTCGCGCTCAAGGAACGAGCACCTGCAACAAGGCTGCTTCAGCCGTCAACCAAAACTTCCTGGGTCTCACCCGTGTTCTTCGTGTGACTGGGAACAAACAAGTCTCACTGATGTTGGATGATGCAACCTGATCCCTTTCCCCTTCTTTGACCGCGTTACGAATGCCGCTATGGGCCCCATCCCGAGTGAAAGTTACGTTGCTGGGATGGCGGCTTGGCGGCTGAGTGACCTACACTGGGCACTCTGGGCACTCTGGGCACTGCAAGGCGCATCGCCCGCTACGACTCTTACTTCTCGAAAGCACGTGTCGGCAGCAGGTGTCGGCAGAATGCTTCGGCTTCGATATTTACCCTGTGAACTTAGTTGGTATTCACAAACCTATCAAATGTGTGGACATTCCGATCTGAGAGGGCAAACTTGCAGCACAACCTTCAGCTGTGCATGTGGGCTGCTCAAATCCGCTCGTTTCTTCCCCCCACTCAACTGAGTGACTTGGGTTCAATGCCTCCAAAAGGAGAATCGAGACGTCAAAGGTCAGACCAAAAGGAATTAAAACAAACATATTTGATCCTAGGTAACCCGAGGAAACCACTCAGTTCTATCTGAACATCCAATTCTGCCAAAACCGCACATGGCACCAACTCCGGCCGGCTCTTCCCTGCCAGTGCTGTCTTCACATCCCGTCACTTGAAAAGCGGTCACGGTCGTCACGATCACGCTCAGAGGGATCTGAAATCATGTTCGGTCAAGGAAGGATCACGGTCAAGGATTCCGATGTCTGCACAGGTGAGCCGGTGAACTTCCCAAAACCAACACATCCTCACCTTTCATCGGACCAAATCGACCAACGTGTCCGGTCTTAAAAAGACCGACTCCCGAGCCATTTGGAAAATCTGGTTCACCTCTGTCCGCTTGTTCTGGCTGGTGAATAATGGCCGAGCCATTCCATCCAATGGAACCGCAAAATAAGAAAGCGTTTTGCAAAGATACCCGATCTCCATCCAGTTTTTTCCCATCCCCCAAAGAAAAAGGTCAACAAGAACCAAGGGTCCAAGAACAAGGCACGCAAATAATGACAGACATGCGCCATTATTATAAATATGATATACAGTAACTGCTTTCTCCCCCCGTGCTCCAGCTAACATGAGTTTGTCCCGCTTCGGATCGAAAACATGGATCCAGCGACCCACCGACTGGAAGGATCACTCCTCGAAGGAGCTCCAAACGTCGCATTGCTCCGCCTCGCGCCGCGAGGCCCGCGGCGTCCTGAGCAACGAGCGCGGAGCAGCGAGGAAGCGAGCGAAAGCACCCAAAGGTGAGGATCTTCAGGTTCTAATCGGTCACAGTCGTGGAACTCAGGTCGTTGAAAGAGATAAAGAGGTCGTTGGGATGGAGAAGTGATGTTTTTGGATCCAAAAAGCTCCCAAACAGAACTGAACCCCCTTGGTGCGGTCCCAGCAGCTGTGAAGACTGAAAGCTAGCTGTGAAATGGCCTGATTGAGTTGCTTTTGGACTTCAAACTCGAAGATGTTCTGAGAAACATTGAAAGACGAATAAAACCATTGGCATTCATTGGTCCCATGAATTCTGGTTAGAGGAGTATCGTTCTTCGGGATGATGGTCTCAGCGGTCGAAACGACACAACGACTTCGTCGCACGAGACGAGACTCGTGGGTTCCGCCATGTCGGAGTGAGTTTTTGATGGAACGAAGCAAACTGCTTTGCAAAAAAGACCCAGTTGGTACTGCTTTTTTGGAGTATGTACTGGCATGTGTTTGACAAGCAGCTGGTACTAGCAAACTGCTGATGGTCACCAAGTCCAGGCGACGAAACTTCTTAGTTCTTTCCAGGCCACCTGGCCACTTTCGTTGCCAACGACCGATCTTTCCACACCAGGACACATCACTAGATCCATGGATGGCTCGAAACAGAAGCACTCGCACAGCAGCAAGGGTCGCAGGATCACCACACTGAGCAGAAGGTTCAGCATGAAGACATTGTAATAGCCTCACTTCGCCCGACACCCGGGAATTTGTTTTTTCCTTGTTCGGTTTTTCCCTGGTGCCAGAGGGCCCGGCCGGCGACGGAACCAGGAGACACCCACTGTGGTCATATGTCGTGGGTTCATGATGTGAGACGTGGGTCGAAAACCAGCAACCCATCGAGCGAGCGCACATGGGTTTTCAGGGGTGGAGTGACGGCAAAATGTCAACAATGAATGAATCCTGCCATGACTTGGAGGGGCCAGTATAAAGACTACACTACAAATCCACAATGGCCCAATCAACAGGATGTCCTTTCGCCTAATGATGGCTACACCAAGTACCATCGATGTCCAAACCAACCCAAACCATCAACAAATTGGAGTGCAACTCCATGTCTCTCTGCGCCATCTGGCACTTTGACCATCGAAACGCCATCGGCCTTCGACCCGAACGGAGCGACGCGACGATCGGAAGGGTCCACACCTGCACCAGGACGAGCCGGCGCGGAGCTGGGCAGTGCCGAGCTACGCCGGAGCAGTTTGTTGCTTCGGCGACAGGCCGCCACGGTGCCGAAGATTTGGGAGCCCATGCGAAGAGTCAAGATAGAGAGGATGCAAATCCATCCACCTGCATCCATCGGGTGGAGCGGAGCCGAGCCAAAATTAGGTGCGGGAAAGAGTCAGGCTGAGTCAGGTGCAGTACACAGCCCATTCGCTCGGGGTCCGTCCTGAAGGAGATTCAAGGCATATTATTCTACATGCTTTTATGATCTTTTGTGATTGTATGTGGAGGGAATTGAAAAACAAACCGCCTGAATGCCTTCCTAATTGCAACCAAACAAAATAGCACATAGTCCGGAATCCCTGGTTTCAGTGGTGAGTCCAATTGCGGGTTCATAGTTGGGGGAGGGATTCTACAAAATATGTCATCACCTGTCCACCCGAGCAGCACCTGCTGATCCCAAAGTGGAAGTTTTCATGATTATGATTCGATTGAACCCTCCACAATGCAAACGAAAAGGATGTTGTCTTTCTTCTCATCTTTGCCCCTCCTTAAAGCAGCTTTTGGATTAAAACTTTTGCAAAAGGTGGGGATGGCTCTGGAAAAAGAAGAAGCAATCAGTGATTTCTCCTATAGGCATCCAAATTGGCGACTTGCAACACCAGTCAAAGGACGCTGAAAAGTGCAGCTTTGGGTCCTTCCGAACAGCCAAGGCTCACTTGCCTCCCAGTTTCGTAGTTGAGGTAATGTAAACACATAGAACCATCGGACGCTTGATCGGAAACAATTCTGAATGTGTTCTGTTCTGGTCTTCGCAGGATTCCTCTGCGACGTCCCACTCTTGTTCCAATCCAACCAAGGCTCTTCCCTCGGGCATCCCCAGCTGTGCCAGCGGCGCATGCTCTGTAAAGATGCGGCAGAGCAGCAGGCAGAGGATCAAATCAATTCCCAGGAGAATCACGACAGTCCTTGTGCGAGTCCACATGTGTCAGGAAGAAAGCAGGAGGAGTCCACATAGTCGTTCTTGTCCTGACAGTCCAAAAGCCATTGTAAGTTTTGACATAGACCATGGAATAGCATTCCAGAAATCCAGACTCCGCTTTGGGGGGCTGAAAAATGGCACCCCAACTCCAACAGCTTGGGCACCACCCTCCACTCGACCCCCAGACCACCGCCCTCGACCTCGACCTCACCACTCCCTCATCACTCCTTCGCGAGACCCATGGATCCAGCGTGGCCGACAGATCACGGCAGCGACAGCTCGAGGAGCCATCGCTCCACCTGGACGAGTCCGCCAGGCACAAGCAGAAGTGCTTGGAAGGTCAAACCAGACTTGTGTGTGTGGGGGGGGGGACTTTAAAAAGAATCCCATTTGAAGACAAATGGGCAATTTGATGCGGATGCCATTCGCGCCTTGCACAGCAATCCGCCAGGTTTCGTTTCAGTCTCCAGCAGGTCGCCATGCGGCTGCAATAACTATTGCATGTTGCTTCGGCATGTGTTCACGCAGCAGGCCACACCAACACGAGGAAGCTAGAGGAGTCAGTGGGTACGTGTGGGTCAGCCCACACTTCGGTGAAGCAAGATCTGAAGTCTAAAGTGAACCAACTTGTGAAATTAGTCCAGTCATCATGCAGATGTGGGTGAACTTGAGCCGGTGCAGATGTTGATCTTTCTCGTCCGGAGCGAGTCGAACCTCAGTTTCAGCGCCAGGCTAAGTCGGGTGGAGATCAGCAGGTACGTTGCAGGAATTCCAGCTGTGTCAGGATTTGCTGATGGATGTCTCCAGTTGGTGTGCTGTGCTAAAAATGGCGACCTCAAAGAGCCACGAGGGAAGCAACGGCGCCTGGAGTGGTTTCTGGCAAACACTGCAGAAGCAGCTGGAGTTGGTAGAGCAACTGGGCAAAGAATGGATTCCAGCAAAAACCGCGGGGCTTCCGCCTAAAAACATCATGATACATCCAAAACCCTCCAAATTCGGTGGAAATGGAAAAAGAACCAAAAACACACGTCCGGACGAATAGAAAAGACGTCCAGTCACCCTTTCTCGCACCGGACGGTCGGTTCGTCATGATGGTAGTCTGGTCGCCTCCAAGTCGTGGAAGATCCATCCATGTTGCAGCATCCAAGCACGTAGTCCGGCCAAGGGGCTCAACACCAAGCCCCCTCCTGCAGGTGTCTCAGTCTGTCGAAAGGCGTTTTCCGGGTGTCCAAGGCGTGGCCCAACACGAACTGCCAGACAAACCGGACGTGGAACCCGGTCCGGAGACCCCGGACCTATGACCTCTGAGCCCCCCAAAAAGAGGGTGAATTTGCTTTCAAGTTCGGTTGGAAACAGTTCTATCTATGGGAGGATCACGATTTTCAGTCTACTGCAGGCCGATGTTTCTTCCTCTGGCTGCACAATTGGCATGCAAATCATGAAACTCAGCACCTCCTCGAACGCTTGGACTGGGCGGCAGCCTGCCAAGGTGTTTAGACAAACATGCACCACTTATGTTTGGCGATTTCGCCGAACTGGAGCAGCAGGAGGTGTTTTTCAACTGTGGCAATTGGCCCAAGAGGACGGAACTCTGCAATGGGCGTAGGCCCGAGTGACTGGTGAAATTAGACTCCAACTCATCATGGGGGGTGACGTGACATGTTGCTCAATTGCTTTCTTTCAAACCAGATAGACCACATGTGACCAGTGCGTCAAGTGGGCCGAAAGGTTCACAGGCGGGACCGCCACGACGTGACGTGACAAGCGGGCGGTGACGGTCCGAGTGAAAGCCTGAACACCTGAAGAAGTCATGCATTGGTCCTCTTTCATTTCACAGAGCAGTCTCAAGGTCCTCATATGCTGTGCAGTTCTTTTTTCTGACAGCCAATAGGTCAAGGGGTTCTCACAACTCGAACAACTACATCTTAATTGTACAATGTGTATACTGTATATATATATATATAAGTCCTTCTCCAAGATCTCGGACCGCATGACTCACAGCCAAATCCCACATGACTCAGGGCTGAAAGAGCCGCCCTCTGACAGATCCCACAGTCTGAGAGAATGACCCCACCGCGAACCGAGCACCCCTCTTAAAAGCAGCACGATAGGGATTCCCTTCTGAAAAGAAAAAAGCCAAGAGTAAGGTTCCAGCAAGAAGAAACGGGAAGCCTCAAGAGATAGATCTCAAAGAGTGGTCTCCCACCAGGAAGAGAATAAGAAGGCACACTCCAACCTTTGCGTCCTCACGCACCCACAACAAGCGCGCACGGTTTCGGTCACCGGGCCCCCGTTGCTCTTCCAGCAGCCGCACGGCAGCCGAATGCCCGTCAACGGCTTTCGGGACCTGGCAGCGGGTCATCAACGATGTCCGACGGGATAGGGGTCGATGACAGGCACCACATACCTCTTGGTTGTTCACGTCTCCGGGATTCTCCGGATATCCCCTGTCGGCCCACCAAACCATCGGCATATGTCTGGCCCAACCTGCATCCATCGGCAGTTACCAGTGGTCAAACCACCAAACCAGTGACGCACCACGGCCGTGGTGGTCGAACCGAACCGGTCGAGCTGTGAAAAGACCCAAAGAATCTGGGCAGCAATGCAGGCGGACAGGGCAAAAAGATCAGGACTTGCACGTTAAGAGTCTTTTTGGGGGGCACTGCAGGACTTGCTACTTCAGCAAGTCCTAAAATCTGGCTCCCTCCCAACCAGCATCCGTCATCTTGATGTTCAACACCTAGAACCAAAAGAGACTGTTGCTGCATGTTGCTGCTGCTTCTATTACTTTCTATTAACCACCGCCTTATTGTCAGGTCGTGCCTGGCGATAGGCCTCCAGTAGCCGAGAAAACTCCTGTCATGCAACCCGAAAGTTTTTGGCTTCGGGTTCCAAGAATGACGCCCAAGCGGGCGGGCCCATTTTGAGGTGCCACTCCCTTTTGGTCTGCAACAAGTTCGAAATGAAAAAGAAAAGAAGAAAAGCTAGGTGTAAACACCCACAAATCCTTGGTTTAACCATCTTTTGGACATGTGAAACTCACCCAGCCGTCCAGGAGTGGGGCAAGTTCGTCCTGCTCTCCGTTCGTCCTGCTCTTCTGGGACGTTCTCTAAAGTCTTTGTGGATAGCGGCGGATAGCGATGGGGTGCTGGGTGTGAGTTGGTTGTACCCAGGAACGGTCAATACACCTCGGCCCGCAGTCTTTAAGATTGACCCCCTGGAATTCATTCCATCTGCATGAGTGGCAAGCGAACCTAACTTCAGGTGAGTCCATCGACTTGGATTTGCCAGGGTACAGCCTACTTGAGATTGTTCCCAAGAAGAGACCCACAAAAAGGAAAGTAAAATGCGCAAGGATAGACACCAGGAGTTTCATGGATGTTCACTGTTCAACCCGCCATCTGGAACGCCCAGATGCACTATCTGGGATGGCACCTCATCTCCACTAAAGTTCCCCATTTCGGAAAGGGGAAGAATTGGCCGGTCCCCCAGAACGATTTGGATGATGATTTTCTCCATTCTTCATCTCCTGAGCTGTGTCTAAGGTGGGTCAACCGCCAGGCCAAGAGCAGGGGGCCCCAGATCCAAGAAGGGGCCCAAGGAATCCCAGGCGAGCCACTGTGCCACCAATCTCATCCTCGTCTTTCATGAGATTGATGTTACGGCCGAGAATGAATAATCCATAATCATCCACCATTAAAATACTATGGTCTTTCCCTTTATTTTAATGGTGGTTCATTCTCTTATCTTCTACCTCTAGATCCAGATGAGCGGTGTAAGGACTTCCTCACTGTCACTACCCTCGATTCCATCTTGCGTGCTCTGCTGCTCTATCAACTCTAGGTGGCAGTCATGTTGATCAACTCCTATGTGCTTGTGGCATCACTGACGCCACAAGCTTACAAATGCAGCAATGTGCTGGTGGCATTGACTTCTGCACCGAAAGAACACACATCGGTGTTTTGGAACTGGACCCACATCCAGCATTCATCCGTTGCAGCAACATCCGCTGGGTACGTCGAATCGAACTCGGACGGGTACAAGGGGTTGAGCAACAGAAAGAACACATATCATCCTCCTGTGAATTCCGCCTGACCCCCAAGGGGCGGTCATTCGCTCTCATTCGCTAACCCCTATCACAGATCCATGGGAAAGCATGTCGCGGCCATCCAGCATCGCCTTTTTCGGATCAGGCTACGGGCCAAAAGGCTAGCCTCGTGTCTATGCGAGCAACCACCGCAGGGGCCGCAGGGGTACTTGGGACGAAAAACATGTGCGAAACCACGGTGCCGTGGTGCTGTGGGGCCGGGTGAACGACTCGGACCACACCATGGACTTGAGCTGTGAAAAAGAAAAAACCATCCAAAAGCCATCAAAAAGCCATCTACTCATCTTATTAGCAGTTGCGGAGACATAAACCCTTTCGAGCCAAGCACCACTGCGGGTCCAAGAGATCGCGCTGTGCGATAGGGCTCTTGCCCACTGAGATCTCTAACCGGGCGAATTAAAGGAACTGGTGTTTAGATCATTAAAGTATTTCAAGTCCAAGCGTGGGCCAAAACACAAGTGCGCAAAAAGTCTCCAAGTCCTGAGTCTTGACCCACTCTTCACATTTCGCCGTGGTCTCCTACAGGCCGCGGATGCAAAGATTAGGCACCCCCTTTTGGGTGCCAGATGAAGATGGTTCAGCAGAAAGGAGCTCAAAGGATTCGGCAGGGACCTAACGCATCTCATCAATTAGCCTCCTACAACTCTTGAACTTATTAATAGAGGCCTCTTGTCAATAGCCTCTAATCAGTCAGCCTCTTTTCATCTTAGTGACGTATGGGCAGGGGGCGCGCAAGAGGGGTCGTCCCTGCTGTCGAATGCACGTTCTGACGCCCAACAGCTTTTGTGCGTCCCAACAGCTAGGCGACGTCAGAATCAAACTGCCCTTGGCTTTGCAGCCCCCTGCTTCAAAAAATAGGTGATTCAATTATTCCTCATAGATCTAGATGGAAGTACCCTTACAAGTTAGAAAGAGCCTCTTCTTTATGAACACAGGAAGCTTTCGCAGCTCAAGGACGGTGCCGGGGATGGACGGTCCATTTTCTGCCGAATCCGCGGCTCGAGTTCGCCACACCGGTCGACCTGAAGAGCCCAGAATCGGAGACGAGATGGGCCACGAAGGGCCTACGGGGCGAAACGGGTCGCCTTCTCGTCGTCGATCGATGTCTTTTCTCTCGTGAAAGACCCAACCGAAACCGATGCTTTCGCTTCAGGTCTGGCTTCCCAACGTGGAAAACACGTTCCAATCATCCCGTGCAGCGGCAATACCTCCCAGCGCCGCGGACGCGGCGGGTCCACGGGGCGTCTGCCCGATGCTCGTCTCCAGGTTCGTCTCTAGTGTTCTCTTTAAGCGAAGGAGGGGAAGGAATGAAAAGACCAGAAAGAATGGTGAAGAAGAATGAAAGACAGAAGTAACATAAGACAGAAAGGGTAAAAAGAGTACTAGAAGTGTTCTTCTTGAGACCGTGTTCGTGTCTCTTTTCCCTACCCATTGCCTTTTCTGTCTCTTTGGCTCATTCGTTGGGCTCGCTCCTTTGGGCCAAACAGGATCCACATTCTCTTCCACAGCAGGCAAACGTACAGAAAGGTTCCAAATACCCTCGATGTGTTTGTTGTATTTGGCTTGAAGCTCGAATGAAGCTCTCGCAACCGCTGAAGGACCAAAACCCATGCATTTCACTCACCCAGGGCACTTGTGGACGTACTGTGTCCACTCGCTCCATGCGTCTGCAGCTCCGGAGCTCTTCGCCAGACTCACCACCTCACGTGGAATGGCCGCGTCGACGCGGTGGGCTAAAATGGCGTGGAATACAGGGTGCCAAAAGGCACGGTGTCCGGATCTGCGGAAGTCAAAATGCCTTGCAAATTCCATCAAATTCCTCCGCAAACATCCTACAGTAACGCGCCCGGCACGTGGATCCGAATCCGCCGTCGAATTCCCTGGTGACTTCGAGGTTTTGACCCATGGACATCAGTGGTGAGCTGCAGTGGGTCCATCTTCCATCTTCTTTCGGGATGGAGAAAAATGGTGTCTTTGGGTTCCAACGCCCATTCTCCATGACACAACGGCATTGAGACCATGACCACATCAAAGAAGCCGCCAGCATCCTGCAAACGCCGAGCTGCATCAAGGGAACTCGGACGCCGAGCTTCGAAAAACCGGAATCGGACGGCCCGAAACCGATGCGTTTCTTGTTGCTGGGGTCTGGGATGGTCTGGGTGAACGAGGCAAAAGAAGGACCTGGGTGCAGAATTTTAGAGCACATTGTCTGACCTGCCCCTTCGCAGCTTTCAGGCTCCCTGTTGATGCAGGGGGAACAAACATGAACAAACAATGTCTTCGAGACATCACAAAGAGGTGTCCGACTTTACTGGGCATGTTTGACACAGGTTTTCTCGCAGGAAAGAAACCATCATCAGAATCACTTCTTCGGGGTCCAACATCACAGACAGAAATTCAGCACGCACAGGCTGAGTTGAAACATGTGTCAGGCCCAATCATTGCCGGCTGGGGTAGAAAGGGTGCTGGGGACACATAGACGAAGCAAAAGAAACATCTGAAGATGTCAGCTGGCCTAGGACGAGATCAGCCCTTTTCCAGTCTCTCACTGTTTTCTTGTTCGTTGAGAGTACTCACACCTATTATGGACAATACCCCAGATAGGGTCCCGCCAGGCTCTTGTTCCATGTCTGGATTTGGTGAAAGATCGACGGTCAGTGGGACGGTCCATGTGTGGTCACGAGGAACCAAAAAAAGAAGAAGCCGAAGCAAAATCTGAAAAAAAAGAATCCCTTAAAAGAAACATATAAATAGTAATAGTAAGAAGAATAACTATGAATAAATAAGTAAATAAATAAACTATATAAGTTATAAATATCTTAATAAACCATAATCCCTTTTAAAAAAAATAAATAACGCCAAGAAAACGTGTACTATCGTGTACTCGCACTTCCTGTTGGACAGTCGTGCTTGAGTTGAGAGTAGCCGTGTCATTCGACGTGTACTACGTGTCCAGAAGCCTGGGGAAGCCCATGTCATTCGCCGGACCGCAGCTCGTACCGCGAGAAAAATACCGCAGATCACCTCGTTGCAGTCACTCCATCCTCCATCCCCAAGCAGTGAGCTCTGCATTTTGGGGGACCCATGATGACCCCAATCACCGCCCCATTCAACCCGAGTTCCCAGAGAAAGACCGGTTTCGGGTTGCGCCGACTCGGATTCTGTTTCGGATTCACCGACCCAGGCCGACCGGCTCCGAGGACGTCGTGTGAGGAAAAGTCATGACCCCAACAAAAAGAATCAAAAAGACACGTCTGTCCGCCCGTGGGATGGTTGACGCGTCGACTCCGCCGGTGGGATGGTTGACGTGTCGACTCCGTCGACGCGCCTTCACACCGCCCTGACTCTTCAACCGCCTCGCCTGACTTTTCGCCTCCTGAAGTGGCTTCTCCGTTGGCCAATGCACTGCACGCTGGCCCTTCGGGTGACCTGGAGAGCGCTCGGTGGGTCAAGGCGCGGTCAACGGGGGGTGATGGAACATGATGGAACACATCGCGTGTCTCGGCTCGCGTCGTCGTCGGAAGACCAATCGCTCAAAGAGGGGACGCATGTCCGAAAAGGCGCGGTTCTTCCTGTCCGGCCCGGTGGGTGCCCAAGGCCCCCCAAGGCCGGTTCATTCCGCTCCGGAGAAGCCAAAGACCAAAGACACGAGGAAAGCGGGTCGGGGGTCTGAAACGGGACGAGACACGAACGACGCGAAGACCGAACCCGAAGGAACCGAGCTCCGGTGGAGGGTTGTCGTGAGGCGAATCCCGGTCGGTGGAGGGAGGAGAAAATGAAGTCGACATCGAAAACGAGAGACTCAGACCAGGGAGGCATGTCTCACATGTTTTGGGGGCCACCATTTTGCCGATGGAACACAGAGTTCGGAACACCTGGACATCTTCCAAGAATGGATTTACTAATACGGGATTCTCATTTGCGAGACATGTCCTGTGGAGCCGGTCCTGATCTTCCGAATTCTACTTGTCGCTTCTGCTTCTCACTCCTGCGGCACTACAAGCGCCTGATTGTCTCTCTCCAGCTTTCGGCATGGGCACGGAGCTGCTACACTGTCTCGCCGAACACTGGCGCTGGGAGAGAGAGGAGAAAGATCGAAGGTTGCCTACATCTCCAGTAGTGGATTTATATGATTTCATATGGCTGCAGTACTGAAACTATTGTCAGAGAATGCCAACATCTTGACCGAGCCAAAAGTGCCCAAGTCGGGAACATGTCAAAGCCTGTGGGATTTCATGTGATGTGTCTGATGACCGAGAACACGTCACAAGGTTGCGTGGACGACCCACCCTGTCAGAGTTGGTGTTCCCAGGGGTCAGTGTCCACTTCCATGTTAGTGAGCCGGAGTGTGGTGGAGGAAGGGTGCCATCAATGATGGAATCAAGCAGTACTTCCAACTACCTTTTTGGGGTTTTTGAGCACCTCCACAATGCTGTGCATACCTACGGACTTCTTGCCTGGACTCCTTTTTCGACGATCTATAGGCTTTACATCCAGTGTCTCTATGATTCTATTATTTGGTGTAGTGAATTGGATGCTTGTATCAGTGAATGCATCAACCTCCCCATGCGGACTTCCGCTTCAGCTGGACGAAGACGTCCCGTGGCCGAAACGAAGCCGTCGCCCGGTGCCGGAAACGGTGCTTTCACATGTGTACCGTTCCATACTTGGCACGCAAACCAGGACCCTTTGCCGGAGCAAACAGGCATTCAGAAAGGCCTTCTGTATCAGGTCTCATTACCCAAAGACTCCATGTATAGCATATATGCCTACATTGGGGTGGTTTGGGGGGTCAATGGGGCGGCATATATTCCAGTCCCATGGAGTGTCTGGGTTATGGTCTGGTTTCTTCGGTTCGAGTCTTGCCACGCGACGGTACCCGCTTCCACCTCCAGGCTCACGTGTCCAGTGCATTGCCTCGGGTTCATGGCAGGCCCAAGGGCAATCCCCCGTTGGTACCGACCGCCGGGGTTGATCTACAGGGGGATAAGGCATCTATATCCGTCGACATTTCTATACAATCTCCCATATTCTCAATTGCCCCAAACGCACCACTTAGATTCACATTGGGTGGAGCTCACCCGCGGTTGACTGTACCCAAGTTTGAGACCTGTGGACCATCTCTTCATATGCAGATCTGCCACCCACATCCACCCACCCAACTCTACTCGGACTCACCCCAACAAGCCAAACCGCCAAACCCACCTGAGCTTCTCCGCTGCCGGGCGGATGCTGCTTCTCCGCTCCGAGCTTCCGCGCGGGTCCAAAATGTCGAAGAGCTCGTGGAGATCCGAGACACTGGCGCAGCCCGGCGCGTCCGACAACAAGGCCTCCAGCGGCGCGGTCGGTCGGGCGCGAATCGTCGACCGGGTCACGCCGGTGGGCGCGGCGCCGGTTGGGACGGACGCACCAGTTTGGGGAGGACCCGGGTGTTGCGGTGTGAATTGGGTGTCCGAACTTCACGCGCGATCGCGGGAACACGTTCCGGGCGCGAACGAGAATGCTGGATCCGACTCAGCTGGGGATCGACATCAGCTGGGAAGGCATCCTGTCACTTAAATCCTCTCTTTTCCTTCGCAGTGGCCAGTACTTTTGGTTAAACAGCTTGAGAATTGGGCTCGACTGCAACAAAACATACCTTTGTTTCGAACAGGAAATCCAGCTCGTCCTTCGTCTCCTTTGGAGCCGGACCCCTACAGTATCAGCTCTCTGGGCCAAATCCGCCGAACACCTCGAGGATCTCGTCTTCCGCCCGCCCGCGGCAGAGCGGGTGTTCGGCCCCAGGTCTCGTATGTTCGACGGATCACTTCCACCTGGTGAAACCCAGTCCCAGAAAGAAGTGGATGGAACTTCCCAGTCCCAGCCATTTCTGTTAAAGGATGTCAATTGCCATATTGGGTTCCAACCCGTTGTTTCCGCTTGTTGGGTTTCCAGTTGTCTGACTCCCCGAGTTTTCGGGAATGGTCCGGAAGATTAGGGTGAACCGCACCAGCTCCACCGGTTTTTGGGTTCAGTGGGGTGGAACACCCCAACCTTGCCCGCTTCCAAAGGCTTCCAAAGGGTGCACCGTGAACTCATCAAGACGAACGTGGATGGCAGCACCACCTGTTTTGGTCTTTGGAGTTCATAGTCAATTTCAGGCCCGTTTTCTTCCGTGCCGCCCGCAGTCGATTTCAGGGAGTGACCAGTTCCGTACGTACAAAAGGATGGAAACATGGTCACCATCAGGTCCAACGGTCCAACCAAGAGGCTCCTCCGACGCCTCCAGGGACGTTTTCGCGTTTCCACCGCCCTCACCACCTGCCCCTCACCTCGCAGGCGGCCACGAACTCGAAGCGGCCCAGGGATCCGTCATCGCCTGGAGCCCGACCGGGGACGTTCCAACCCAAGCTGACCAAGCTGACAGCTTGGCTAAAAGGATCGCTCTTCTCAAGGGGTTTCTTTGAAGTGACAATTCTGAACATTCAGATTTGTTCAAGGGTTTTTTTCAAGGTTCTCCCCACTGTGAAATAGAAATGGCAGACATCATCTTCTCCACGGCGCTCGGCGCTCGGCGCTCGTACTTCACTCGCAGACTGTGTCCACATGCAGGTTCGAACGCAGTGTCCACTCAAAACATGCAGCTTCGAACGCAGTGTCCCTTCTACTGGTCTTGTTCCGGGTCCTCCTCTTGGGGTCACACCTGACCTTCCAAAACAAACGCTGCTCCACTCTGTGGAAATGGAGCAGCGTGGGGGGGGGCTGGGGAACCGTGAGAACACCCACGCCAGTGGCGTCCGCCAATGGCGTCCGCTCAAAGAACCCCCAAACTTTGGTGAAGGCTTGAGGGATTCAGCTGCATTCCAGCTCGTGAGCATGCTGTTTGGAAAGCACTGCAGAGAAGCAAAAACTGCTAGCTAGCCAGAAAAGCCCAATTGTAGGCGAAGCTTCCCCGAAACTCTGGACCGAAAGTGTCTGTTTCTTCACTTCTTTCCAAAAAGACTCTCAAGTTCTGCAGGGTGGGCTCATCGCAACAAAAACCGTTTTGGGGGTCTTTGGGCGAATCCCACAACTGCGGTGATGTCCAGTTTGCAGGTGTCAGGCCAGCTCTCCAGTCTTCCATGTTTTCCAACAAAGCAGCGTGCAAAGCAGCGTGCAACAAAGCAGGTGTGTCTCCGGTTTTCCGGGCCTGCGCCCACGAAACTGTTCGCTAAACATCCTTGAAAGGCGCCCAGCAAAACCCTTGCTCCAACCCGAGCCCGGTAACCCGCCTGGAATGCTGACCATTGCAGCTTGCCATCGCCACGCAGCCACGCGCCGGTGGTGTAGAAAAGGACACAAAGCATGATTCACTGGTTTCATTCATGACACATGAGCGGTGCATTCACAACGTTCCATGATCTTCCACCAATTCGTGGGGGAATCATGTCAGACCCTTGGACGCTTCGGCAGCTTTGGGCACTTCGACTTCAGTAGTGACCTTCGGCATGGTCCACACGTGAGGTGGACGTTCGCTGGTGTCGGAGCCCTGATGACGACACCTCACGACGCCTCAGATCCATGTGACGGAGCGCATGTGGGTCCTCTGCATGTGTTTCCTGCGTGGGAACCTTGAAAGAAGAGCGTGCAAGGCATTGCGCCACAAGTGCCAAATCGTCTGGTGCGAAGTTGGCCAGAGGCATGATGATTGTGCTCGTCTAGACGTCGCCCAGTTCATCCTTCAACCCCGACGTCGGTTGATTACAACATAGAATGCTTTCTAGATCTTTCTCTAGAGTAGCTGTCCGCAGATGTCTTGGCTCACTGTAAAGGAAGACTCATGAAAACTCCATCAAACTTGGAGCAAGGCACCAAAGGAATTGGTGTCGGAGGAGACCTCCGAACCTGTCGGTGAGTGGGTGTATTGGGTGTGGAAACTTCAAATCCGGGAGACCCGGGGCTCCAACGGGTAGACTGGTCGTAGTGTTCTTCTTCCAGGGAGTTGAATTGGGAAGTCTCCCTATTTTCATGCAGAAACAAGTGCATCGCTACTAGTAACAAGTGCCTTGCTAGTAGTAACAAGAAGCTACGAGCTTCTTGTTACTAGTAGTAAGGCACTTGTTACTATGCACGCCTGTTTCTCTTTCACTCTGTGTCTCTCCTCATGGCCTCTCTCTTTTACGCCCCCAAGTGATCCGTCCAGGGCCGAAGTCAACTTCAGGGACAGAGCGCCCTTGGACGACAGAGTTTCCTTAGCCCAACCCGCGCAGGCCGCTTCCGGACCTGCCGCTCCCCAAGCAGCAAAGGCCCCCCATCGGACAAATGGATCCAAACCCGGAGGCCCCCAAGGCCGGGCGCCGATCGGTCGTCGATTCATCGATCGGATGGTCAACCGGTCGGTCTTTCCGGTGCCATGACGCCATCTCTCGGTGCCATGAGAACACTCGGCCGCCCGGAACTACACACGTGCATCATGCCAGTACCCCGCTCGTTCTTTGATCGCCAAATCGATGAGGCCTGCCTCGCCGCCTTTGAGTGAGGCCTGGCTCTAAGGCCTTCTGACAAGGCCACAAATCAGTGCCCTAGTCATGCCAGCTATCCTCTTGGTTGCATAACTCATGGGCCTGACTAAAACTTCTCAAACATTCAAAAACACATCCAATGGAGTTCTGAAACATAATGGAATGTGGACGTTCTGGAATGCTGACACACTTGGCACCGTTCCAACCGCGTTCCAGGAACCTTCTCACGCCTTCTCATCGGCGCAGGCCGCGTACCGCCCCAGCCAGTCCTCGAAGACTTCATCAGCCTTGGGGGCCACGTCCACCGCCACGCCACGCGCAGCAGCGACCACCGCCAGAGCCTGGCAGCAGCGACCACCGCCGGTGCCGACGGTTCCGAGACGATTGGCTTTGCCCAGGCATGGGGTGTTGGAAAAAAGGCATGGCCTCAACGCCTGAGGTAGGGAATACCCTGCTATTGAGTCTATTGAGCTTAAAATTGTGTATTAGACTTGGTGCTGCTGGGCTCTTGGGCCTTGAGACGAGGCTGACACCCACTGACACTGAGCAATCTTAGCTCCTTTTGCTTTCGTGCCGCATCTTTTGATGAAGAGCACCTGAACCATCTCTTGGTGGCCACATGGCATGTCTGCAGCTTCTGAGAAAGTCCATTCCCCAAGCCGCGCCTCTCGATATACAGGAGCCATATGATGTGAAATGCCCTTTGGCGCGAGCTCCAGATATCCCATCTCTGGAAAATCTGGAGCATTTCCTGGGAAGGCGCTGGGAAGGTCTTCCAGTCTGCCTCCATGGTTTGAACCATGGACAGCTCTAAAAGTCCCATCTTTGACGATGTCCAAACACTTGAACTGAAGCGTATGCCACCGTATGCCGAAAACAAGCATGGGGCATGACTCCAAACAGGGAATCCAAAAGAAAACAGTTCAGCAGGTTCCCTTTTTGGTCCATCCCCAGATGTATTTGATTGAATCAATGGAGCAAAAATCTCACAACTGAGGTCTCTTCCGCGCCAGGCAGTCCACTTGCTGAGGCTGCCCTCCTTCTTCGAGTCAGCCTCCTTGGAAAGGAACAAAGGAGTTTCATATCACATAATTTGTGTGCTCAGAATTGTCTGCTCTTTCCGGTCTGTTGGAGAAAGTATCCCCTTTGATGTCTTGAACCCCGAAATCGTGTGGGGTTCAACTGTTCACCTTGCCTCACTCAGGAAATTGCAGACAAAACTAGCCCTCACTCTAGTTCATTCATTTGGTTTTCTGGCGTCTTGTGAAAGGTTTTCTGGCGGCTGCTTCAGAGCCCGTTCTCCAATCACGGTCACTCCCGACACCACTCACCGGGAGCAGTCGCCCGGTGCCCACCCGGCCGCGACCGCTCCTCGGTCTGGTGCAGGACCACCACGGCTCCGGGCACGTGCTGATCCGAGCTCCGGCGCCGGTTTGCCAAGGCCAGTTGCAGGACCTCCTCCACCTGAAGCCGAAGAAAAGAGCAAAGCGACCGGGCCAAATCCCGGAGAAAACACACACAAAAACAAAAACACTGCCCTGGGCGGGTGGGCTGAAGAAATCCGCCAAAAAATACAGGGATACCAAAAAAGAAAATGTGGGCTCTTCAGCCATGACAGCACAAATCTACCAATGAAGTCGACTTGGAGGGGTCAAAGTTGAAACAAGTCCACCAAAAACATGGGATGATTCCAATCCCTAAGGCCCCAGGCAGCTAACCACCATAATCCACCGTGATGTACGTAGTCCCCTGCTAAACTGCACCGGTGACTGAAGTAGACGGCCCGGCAAAAGGCTGAAAACACACCGTCTAGACGGCCCTGCTTGGCTTGGTGGGAAAATGGCACCAGACCGGAGCGGTACAGCTATCCTGGTGGACAGAGGAATCTCTTCATTTTCAGCGGTCAACCAGGGTTATGGGGTTTTGACCCACGGCCATCATATCTCAGATTACAGAAATCCCCGCAGCGAATTTCAGACTACGACGACTGGCTGAAGGGTGGATCGTTGATGGCTGCGCCACCCAGTCTGAGGTTGCGCCTTACCTACTTGATCTCTTTGATCTGTGGCCACCATCGTCCAACTCCCGTCACAATATCTCAGATTCAGCCTCATAACATGAGGTGAGTTGAAACTCAGTTCTTGAGCTGATTGGACCTGCCCTGAGCTACCACCAGTGAGTGACCTTCTTTCTCGAAGAAGAGGCCCATGATGGGCCGCCCATGATGGGCAGAAGTTTCTTGCCACCTCCCTGTTGTGGACATCTTGACCTCTTCTTCCCAAAAAGGAGTCCCACCCGTCGACCCCTTCTCTGATCTGGCAATCAGGGCACGGAAGCTCCTTTGCCCAGCAAAGAGAGGCGCCCCAGGTTTTGCATGCTGATCTTGGTCAATCAGGTGGCAAAAATTGAAAAACAACAGATTGATCCATGAAGTCCTATTCGCATCTCTCACAATATCCCAGGCTGCTGATGCTGTGCATCAGAATCAACAGTATTCCTTGGAGGTAGCCCCAAAAATACGGGTCATCGAGGCGACGAACGGCCACAACACCAAAATGCAGGAACATGCAAGAAATGCTGTTCACTTTCGTGGTCCGTCCGCTCCGCTAACTGTTTTTTTATGGTCCCGGCCGGGTAGGTCGTGGAACGTATGAACCGCTCCAAGTGGAGAAGACACTCCGGTAGATGATGCAGGTGGGCGTGGGATCCGACCCCAAGATAGTCCGACGAAATGACTACTACCAGGCATGTTATGTATATATGTATACAGTATACGTAGAGAGAGAGAGAGAGATTTCGGACATGTCGATGTGTTAAACAATACTGTAAGGTGCTGAAACTGAAAGCTGTGGTCGTGGGGAATCATAGGACTAGTCTGTAGAAGTGACTGCACGAGGCATGTTTTATATAGATGTATGTGTGTATATATATATATATATTTGTTTTATTTTGTATAAGTTCTTTCAACCATGTTCAGTAAGCTGCAGCAACTCTTCCTGGTGGGACAACCTTCACTGCTGTGGTGGATATGGTTGCCCCAGGCCCTGGTCTTCCTTTTGAGTTTTCCACTTGGACCGCTGTCCCCACTAGTGTCGGCATTTGGCTTTTGTTATTGGCTCGTTATCCGCGGCAATTGGGTCACTGGCCCATTATCCGCGGGATCCCCATATTTCTGCTGTGTGTGAAACTGAAAGCAGTGGTCTCGGGAGATCATAGGACTCGTCTGAGCAAGTGACTGTTGCGAGACATGTTCTAGATATATATATATATACATATACATAGTCACATAACATAACTCTTCGTATGTCAACAGACTGCCTTTGGACTGGCCATGTGTACTACTCTCGGATAGTAATGATGCTAGTGATGCAAATATAATCACCTTGCACCTTTGCATCACCAACCCACTAAAAATCATCTCCGTGGATAAGTAAAAACACCAGCAGGCTAACATGGTTTCCCATCTCTCCCGCACCCCCTAAAACGAACTTCGTTCGCAGCACTAACTTCAGCCGATCCTATCGGCTTGCTTTCGTCAAAGTCGTCCCATGTTTTCCCAAATCCAACGGTCCAAGTCACTCGCGGCACGGCATCGTCGTTGCACACAAAGCCTGACCCAAGACGGCACACAGACTGCTTTCGGAGCCCCGGGAGTCGCCAGCGCTCGGTCCGCTCGGTCTCATATGGACGGCTAGTTCACAAGATTCTGGTGTATATGTTCACCAGTTTTTGTAGATTCACCCCCCATGGAACTAGATCCTGAGCACGATTGTGCACCTATTGTGCTACAGGTAGGGATCCAGATTTCGGGCTATTTACAGTGCCGTATTGCATGCGTCCGATTGAAGATCGTCAAATGTTTGAGGCTCCCAGCTTAGCACCATGGGTGCATCTCCTCCTTCGCTTGCTTTGGCACAGTCTGAGGCATTCTTAGCATCCATGCCTCCAAAAAAGAGAACTTGAAGCAACCGACCCTGACGGATGTCTGTTCTGTCACGAACATTGGAGACCAGAATGGAACAGAAGAGGATGGGACTCTCCGGCTGTTCAGTTTCAAATGATCTGTTCGTTTCTTCCATCGAAAAGCTTCAAGGAGTCGAAGGAGTCGAAGAGTTCATGTTTGAAGTCAAGGAGTCTTCAGGTGTCTTCAGGTGTCACTGGGGATGAAAACCAAATTGGCCCGGAATCTCAATGTTCAGGAATCTCAAATGCAAAGTGACTGCAAAACTGCGGTGATTGGGATACTAATCGCTAATCGCTAAAATATTTTCTAACAGATAATCGCTAGTTCTCATGTCTGTTGTGGTTTCTGTACATCTCGGTTCAAAAACAACATTAGCCGAAATGCCGTTCGAGCAGCCGCTCAAATTGCGATTTCAATCAAGTGCTACTCGATCTGGTCTTCTTGTTCACTTGCGTTCTCTCACGCTTCAAATTCCGCAAATCACTCAACGTTCCACAACAGCTCACACAACAGGCAGTCCGCAACTCCTCGGTGGTCCATTGTGCCATGGGTCCATCATGGGTTTCTCATGGGTTCATCCTCACCCAGATTGCCAAGACACAGGGGCACGGAGCAAAGGCCACACAGCTGACCGAGGAGATCCCCTCACTCCTGCAAGGTGGAGAGTTGGGGGAGAGCCGGGATCTGCACGTTCGCACTTGTACTGAACCAACACAGCCGCCACGGCCGAAGAATTCACCTGGAAAACACTGCAGTTCTCCGGATGAGTACCCGCCCTGCCCGGGCATTTGAGGTAGTTAGGGTACGTTTCAGTACATCACATGCACCAGCACCACGGAATTCGCGTGGTTCATAGACACCCCTGACTCCCTGACAATGTATTTTCCCTCCAATGACCACCCGAAATCCGTGGTGCTGGTACATCTCATGTACTGCTTGTGCCATGAGGAAACTGTTCATGGTGGTCAGCACCTGGATGCACTTGGGGCCTACCGCAACAAGTCTGCCAAGTCTTTATCGCAAAAGCTGCGACAATGAACACAATGTAAAAATGAAACACAGCTGCGATACACGTCATCTTTCAGAATGTTCTTCTTAATCATCCTGCTAACGAAACAGGCCCAATTGTCCAACAAAAGAATTGCAACGTGATCTCCCAATTCTCAACCTACCTGCTTTGTATGTTTCAAATGTGATCCTCAAAATCTCCGATGGTCATCTCCGCTGGTCACTCTACCACCATTCCCTCCCGACAAACTCGCTGCCTCCCCCCAAAACACTCCCCGGTCCCCCACGAAGCCATCTCAGCACGCAGCAGGCGTGTCACCAGGGAGGCGGTGCTGGCACCCAAGCTGTGCCCGGTGACCAGTAGGGAGTAGCCCAAAGGCGCCAGTAAATCCCTGGCGCAACTTCGACAACACGACACAAGACGAAAGATCGGATGTTCGGACGAAGAAAACGGATGGCTCTTTCATATGACAAAGCACTGTCCAATGGCTTCTGAAAGGGATTTCAGGTGCTTGATCGGCTTGTCGTTTGGAGCCGGTCCAGCGGCCCACCATGGTGGATCATATGTGATCATTGCACAAACCCCTCTGCCTGATCACCGGCTTGACCCGAGCCAGCACCGAGTCTGCCGCTGTGAGGAAGCCGCTATGTGCTGACCTACGCAGCTGAAGGCTCGGGGTTTAAAATACCATTTGCCTCCGAAAACTAAGACAAAAATAGTAGACCACCCTGGACCATCCCTCATAAAGCAGAATCTTCTGTACAAATTCTGGCAGTGTCCATGTTTGTCAAGAAAAGGATCGAAAAAGGATAGAAAAGCCCTTCACCCATCCCAGTACTCCCAATCCCCATGCCCAACATCGATCTCACAGCTTGCGGCACCCTGTGACTTGCAGCGAGTCACAGCTTCTTGCCATCCTCCAAGTTCCGTTCCTCGATGTCCCCCGCCAAATCCTCGGTCCGTTCCAGACTCCGTTGAGCCGGTGAACGGAACGGAACGGAACTCAACCTGCCAAAATCTCTCCGTTCGCTCCATCTCCGTCCGACCATCTACCGCCATCTCTACTCTACCACCCTCATCGACCTCCGAGATTCCGTCAGGGCATCCGCCGGTGTTTTCGTGCCTGGCCCATGCCGATCTTGGACCCATGCCGATCGCGAAACCCAGCGCGCTAACGCGATCGGGTGTCTTTTGCAAATCGAAGTCTTCGTTGAATTGGACCCAAACTAGCGAGCAGGCGTGGAAGTTTCAGTTGGAGTTGAATTGGCCTTCTGGAATGCCGCCAGGGCATTTAAACCTGGTGGTTGGTTGATCTGCAAGGTGCGGTGCAAAGAGATGCCGGCGAAACTGAAAACGAACATCAAATGCTTTCGGTCGCGTGGGTGCAGGGGTGTCCACAGCTCGTAGCAGTTCATGATTGCGCCAGCCAGAGTCGGAGTTGATCTGGATATGGTACACATGTCAGTTGCCATCGAAGCAAACAACTAGTAAGTTCCATTTCCTCTTTAGTGCCAGCTGTAGACTTGAGACTGGTCTCCACACGTTCAAGCTCCAACAGACCAATCCTGGCCTCGAATTGAGAGGATCGCCAACTTTTTCTCGTGGTTAAAGCAAAGGAAGTGTGCTGGGGAGCCAGGTTTGCTGACGCCTTCCAGGATGAGGACCTGTCCAATCCGATCACCACCAGGTGCAGCGCGTGGAGGTCGACAAGAGCATCTTCAAAAATATGATGTTCATGTGTTAAGCAGATTCACCCAGGATCTCACGTATATATATATATATAGGTGTGATTCAACCTGGAGCTTGTCCCGGCTTTCCCGAAAAATTCATTGGTGTTCATCTATGTATGTGTTACTTGCTTGTCCATACTTGTTCCATTTTTGTTGGGGTCCCCTCTTTAGAGGGCAGCGAGTCCATTGGGGGCCTGCCACCCCGCAGATCACAGGTCCTCAGAGAGGGACCTACCCGGTGACACCGTCGCGGATCGCGCCGGGTGTCGTTTTCGTGTCGCGGTGGTCGCCTCTTGGTGACGCTCGCGACCTTGGGTGAAGCACTGAAGGATTGAAAAACGATCCAAAGAATGAGGGCAGTTCTCATCATGATTTGCTCCAAAGTGATTTAAAAGAAAGCAAAGAAACAAGCACTCTTAAACTAGGAAGGACATGATCAAAGTTACATGAGACATGAGAATGGACATGTTCCACTCGTTCATACTTCTATCACCAACCTATTGGATCTCTAGCCTCCAGCCGCCTCTTCCACCGCCTCCAGCTGCCACCTACAGTCCGCCGCCTCTTCCGCCTCTTCCCTTTCCCGAAGCCAAGCATCAAACTTCCTTCACCACATCGTCCACCTACAGTTCGATCGATGAGGAACCCACCCGCGGTTCCGCGAGCTTCGGGCAGTTTGGAGGAGCGGTTCAGCAGTTGGAGCTCGTGGAGGTCCGATCCAAAAAAGCCGATCCACGGAGTCTGAGCTGCAGAGAGAAGATACACCTGAAGTTCCACGCTGCATGACGTGGGATGGCGTGGCCAAGGCGGAGTTCCGAAGACCATGAAATCCGAAGAGAATCCACAACAGGTGTTCCACTTCGTGACTTCCGAGGAGTGTAGCTCGATCCCAGCCAGCCAGGCGGCCTCTCCAACCGAAGACCCGAAGACCGTCCCATCCAACGCCTCTGGGCATCCACCCATCAACCAGCGTCCCATCCTGGCCTCATAGGTGGCTTCAGCAAAGGGCAGCAGTTGGAGGCCCAGCGCCAACTTCTCGGGCTCCACTTCCATAGAGACACTACCTCACGGAGGTGAAACGAACGAGGTCAAAACGCTCGAGGCGAGTGGTTACAAGACTAGACCAGGAAGTGAGATGTATCTCTCCCTGGAACTCATCATGAAAGTGGATGGCACCCCCTGATTTCAAGAGGATTTCATGGTCTTCCATTCGGGGCCAGGCCGTCCACTTCGATGTTAGTTCCAGGGAGTGTATCTCGTTGGACTTACGAACGACAAAGCATGTTCCAGCAATACTCACGTTCTCTCTCTTCAGCCTTCAGGATCGTTTAGAGAGGGACATTAGTCGATGACTCCACTGAATACACCTTGCATTCGACTGAATTGGCCCTTTGTGCATGCTTGTGCGGGGGAATGTGCTTCGCAGACTTGATTCTCTGAGAGCAGACCGCAGACTGCTACTAGAGCATGTCCAGGATATCATGTTCTACCTTCTTCCCCCCACCCGCCATCCCAACTGACTTGTTACTGTTGAACTCTTCGTGCCACCCAGCAAAACTGAAAGCCAAAGGCACTCTGTTGGTCCAAGAGAGCTCGAGCCTCGCTATAGGGCTTGCGCTGCCCACAGGAGAGCTCAATGAGGCGCCTCACAATTTGGAAGGCATCCACCTTCTCAGCGATGTAGAGCCTCGGACTCAAAGGTCAGAGTCACAGCCCATACCACCCATGGACACCAGTTGCTATACCACCCTTTGGGTATTGCCTGCGGGCCGGCCCGCACCTACCTCAAGCTGTTGAAAAGAGCTTGTGCTTCTTCGATGTGGCGACCGCCCATCCATCGAGACATCACACCGATCCATCCAGCAGCAGGTGATGATGAGCAGATCCGCTTCCTCTCCGTCCAAGTGGCTCATCTGCTCCCAGGCGGCCTTTCAGCGTTTCGATGGCCTGCGGCAGCCGCGCGAAGAGCTCGGCGGCCGGGCCGGGGAAGAAGGCCTCCCAGTGCCGCGCGGGAAGAAGAAGTGCGATCAGAGAGAGGGGAAAAGAAGGTCAAGCAGAAAAACCTTCAGGTTCGACGAATGAAAAATCTCCGCTGAAGATGATGTGTCCCTAAGGATGGAGTGAGATCGAGCACATCTGAGAAGGCCAGCTGCCCAAGCAAAGGCTTTGCAGAGCGAAGCGTTCCGACATCGAACTGAAATGAAAGCTTCAAGGGCGCGCGCTTAGCGCTGCGGTTCGGCTGGTCAACAGAACCAAACACCCAGCTTGGGGATCACTCTGCACAGCTCGACTCCCTAAAGAGAAAAATCACTCTCAGAATAAGACTTCGGCTAGGCAGACCTTGAGGAGCTCTTCAGTGGAGATGGTCTTCCTGGGTCTAAGACACAATGGAAAAGGTCGGGGCGACATTGTTGCAGAAGTACGAGACCTAAGACACAGCGTTTGGTTTGGAACCCTTACATTGATTCTGTTCTGGGTATGAGCCCTTAGGTTGAATTCTGTTCTGGATATGCATGCTGATGTGCTCTCCACATGTGATCAGGTGGTTGCTTTTTCTGCATTCTGCGTCGGAGTGGATCTGTCTGGCTTCAAGATTCCTTGGAAGAAAGAAACAATTAAGGCTGTTTGTGGCAGTACAAATCAACAAGGCTGTTCAACAGTCACCCAGTCAAGATTCCAACGCTTGCCATGGATGAAGAGGCTTATAAGTGCCTCCAACCAGTATCAGGTTGAGGCATTCAATGCCCACACCTGTTTGCCATCCATACAATGTGACTGCTACGATAGCATGTGAACGGAACAGTTCTAGGCCAGTGTCGTGTAAACTGAAGAGACGAGGTCGATTCATGTATGAAACAACAATTGGTGTCTTAAGCAGTGTGGCGAAACATGTCGAAACTTGGTTTAACAAACATTAGAATACATTAAATGTCCTTGTCCTTATATATAAATAAGGTGTGCAATCCGCGTGCTTTGCCACTGGGATCACTTGGGCACTTTATAGAAGACCAAACACGCAGGATGGTTTGCAATCAATATTGACGCAGTTTTACCGCTTTACCAACGACATGCCCGAATTGGATCGAATTGGGGTCTTTCGCGGGGATACTCTCAGGAGTTCGGCGTGGCATCTGCAAGCGCTCTCATGGCATACTCAGATGATTACAACGGTGGCAACCAAGCCACGGGCAGCAAATACGCTGAGAGAGCAGAGCAGAACGACAAAATTCTGGAGGCTCCGGGTTGCTTCAGCACATTTTGTGGTCAGAATAGGTTGAATCTTCCACTGTAGCACCAAATTCTCAACCTCAACTGTGCAACAACTCAACACTTCAGATGAATCCCCTAAGCAACAGTGTGAAGCAGTAACCCTAAAAAAACTAGAACTAGACGACGAGTGGCCCGAAAGCATTTTTCATCACGTAGGAAGTCAGAGTGCGAGTTATCTGTTAAGTGTGCAGTGTGAAGTGTTAAGTCGAGTGAGTTGAGGTAGTGTGTGGGTTTCTGTGTGTGTATCTATGTACGTGTGTATATGAGTCTCTGTCTGTGTGTGTGTGTCCGAGTAAGTTGAGGCAGTGCGTGGGTCTCTGTGTGTGATGTGTGTGTGTGTATGAGTCTCTGTCTGTGTGTGTATGTCCATGTCTGCTGCTGGTGAAGGTCTTCACTGTGTATTTAGTGAACGAATTAGCGCGCAGGCCTCCCAAACCCCCCACCGGCGGCCAAGCGGTGACAGCCCAGCTCATCGTCGTGAGCATTTGGGCTGCTGGTAAGGGGAGAAGCAGCGTGCACGCCTCCAGGAAATCTCACTGAAAAAAGCAAGCTGGAATGAAGACAGAAAATTGCCGAGGCAGGTGCGCAACAAGTTTGTCGAAGCAGTGACCTGTCAGAGGAGATGCGTCCGTCGATATACGATCAGAGCCAACGTTTCCTTCACTCCAGGACAGAGCTTGTCTAGGATGTAGTTCACCAACCACTATGCTTGTCATTGACTAAATCACTGTCTCAAAGAAAAACGCGACAAAGTAGCATGAGGTGACACACAGCAAGCACCGCAGATGTTTAGCGTAGTCTCGCTGCTCGGCTCGCGACCAGTATTATGGTGAACGAATTAACGTGCAGGCCTCCCAAACCCCCCACCAGCGGCCAAGCGGTGACAGCCCAGCTCATGGTCGTGAGCATTGGAGCATTCTCATCTTCCAGCTCCCCAGCTAGTCCGCGTACTCACCAGTTCTCATCTTCTAGCTCCCCAGATACTCTGCCTACTACAGTTGTACAGTTCTCTTCCAGCTCCCCAGATACTCCGCGTACTCAAGTTGCACTACCAAGTCACCAGTTCTCATCTTCCCACTCCCCAGCTACTCCGCGTACTAAAGTTGCACTACCAAGCCAGCTCCCCAGCTACTCCGCGTACTAAAGTTGTACTACAAAGTCGCCAGTTCTCAGCTTCCAGCTCCACAGATTGCTCCGCGCACTAAAGTTGTACTAGAAAGTCGCCAGTTCTCAGCTTCCAGCTCCCCAGATACTCCGCGTACTCAAGTTGCACTACAAAGTCGCCAGTTCTCATCTTCCAGCTCCCCTGCTAGTCCGCGTACTAAAAATGTACTACAAAGTCACCAGTTCTCATCTTCCAGCTCGCCAGATACTCCACGTACTAAAGTTGTACTACAAAGTCGCCAGTTCTCAGCTTCCAGCTCCCCAGATACTCCGCGTACTAAAGTTATACTACAAAGTACACCTCTCGCCTGCATTTCGCGCGCTCGACCCGCCCGATCTCCGCAGAGGGTTGCGCGCGCACAGACCCAATCGCACTCTTGCCTGCATTTCGCGCACTCGACACGCACGATCTCCGCAGAGGGTTGCGCGCGCACAGACTCAATCGCACTCTCGCCTGCATTTCGCGCACTCGACACGCACGATCTCCACAGAGGGTTGCGCGGGCACAGACTCAATCGCACTCTCGCCTGCATTTCGCGCACTCGACACGCACAGTCTCCGCAGAGGGTTGCGCGGGCACAGACTCAATCGCACTCTCGCCTGCATTTCGCGCACTCGACACGCACAGTCTCCGCAGAGGGTTGCGCGGGCACCGGACAAATCGCACTCTCGCCTGCATTTCGCGCACT